TGCTCTGCCTCTGCCACGACCACCTCCACGGCCTCTGGTGGCCTCAGCTGGTGGCACTGGTGGTCGTCCACCTCGTCCAGTAGCTCATGTCCTCACCATCTGTGAGAGAATAGAATAACAGAAGTTTAGTACTCGGACCAACAAGTTCGCACGATAAGAATTTCAAGAATATGAAGTTTTTTCCTAAAGGTTCTGCAGCCTCTCGAGGATAAATGCAGACGTCTCCGTACCGATCCGCGAGACTCTACTAAACCTGCTCATGACTCGCGAGACCTAACTAACCTAGGCTCTGATACCAACTTGTCACGACCCTAACCCCGAACCCGGTCGTGATGGTGCTTCTCGTGAAGACAAGGCCAGCCAATAAACAATATTCTCAGTTTTAAACAATTAAATAGCATAATAATGATCTAAGCATAATTAAATAACACGAAATAGTGAAAAATCCAGCCCGACACTGCCCAAACCGGGGTGTCACAAGTCATGAGCAACTACGAATCCTGATACAAGTCTACTAAGCACAGTATCTGATACAACTATTTGAAGAAACAAAGAAATAATAAGATAAGGGAGGCACGGGGGCTGCGGACGCCAACAACTACCTCGTAGTCTCCGAAACACTGCCTAGACTGGAGGAATCAACACTCCGGAGCGGGACCAACAATGCCTGAATCTGCACACACGGTGCAGGGGGTAATGTGAGTACTCCGACCCAGTGAGTAACAAGTATAAATAATGACTGAAGATAAGAAATCACATAAGGCACAAAGTATTCTATAATGAAGCAGTAAAACATCGTTTGAAAACATTAAAACAGTAAAAAAATCCAGTAAAAACTCCTTTCAACAGGTAAAAACAGGTAAATAATGTAAGGTAACAGACAGAAGTTTGCCCCTCGGGCTCAGTATCCACAAATCCGCCCCTCGGGCCATAGCTCAGTACAGTGCCAGCCCCTCGGACTCAATCTCATGTCACAAATGGGTGCCCGCGCTCACTGGGGTTGTACAGACTCCTAAAGGGGCCCCTTACGGCCCAAGCGCAATCACAAGCGATCTCGTGGCATCAAATCTAGGCCCTCGACCTCATATCAATCAAGCCACCTCGTGGCGCACATATCTCAGGCTCTCGGCCTCCAATCAATACCAGTTTCTCCTCACAATCTAGGCCCTCAGCCTTACTCAGTCAAAAATTATCACAAGTCCCTCCGGCAATAGTAAAACAATGTTTCTCAGCCCAAACATCATTTAAAAATATCATTTAAGCCTCAAAACATGAGTAAAAATGGCTGAGTAGTAAAACAGTGGAAATTAGCATGACCGAGTCCAAATAGTAAGTTAAAACAGTGAGGAATATCAAATAAAATCCCCGAAGGGTCCAAATAGTTGGCACGAAGCCCAAATATGGCATTCAGCCCAATAAACAGTGATAACAAATGGTTTTTAGTCAAATACGCGGTAAAATCATCAATCGGGACGGACCAAGTCCAAATCCCTATTAGTGCACGACCCCACGCTCGTCATCGAGCATGTGCCACACCTTAATATAGTACTACGATGTACAATCCGGGGCTTCAAACCCTCAGAACATCATTTACAAGCATTACTCACCTCGAACCGGCTAAATCCCTAGCTCGCGACGCCTTTGCCCTTCTAATTGGCCTCCACGCGCGTCGAATCTATCCAAAATCAGAACGAATACGTCACAATATGCTAAGGGAACAAAACCCAAGCGAAAACAATCGAAAACTGCCAAAAATCTCGAAATTAGCAAAATCCGAGCCCCGGGCACACATCTCGAAACTCAGAAATTTTTCTCCAATAGGTTCCTTATCTCCCCACGAGTTCATACATACCAAAAACATCAAAATCCGTCCACAATTGACCCTTCAAATCCCAAATCAAAAGTCCAAAATTCCAAGCCCTAGTTCTTCCATTTTTAGCTTAAGTTTCCATGAATTTCTAGGTGGATTTCACAATAGAATCGAGTTTTTAGGTCCAAGATTCTTACCTCAAACGTTTCTCCTTGAATCCCTCTTTAATCTCCTTCAAAAAGCTCCCAAAATGACCAACTATGGAGGAAATGAGCCTCAAAATCGCGGATGAAACGACTTAAAAACAATTTGCCCAGGTCTGACTACCCTTCTTCGCGAACGCGGTCAAACCCTCGCGTTCGCGAAGCACAAACTTACGTTGACCACTATTTCCTCTACGCGAACACGACACGACCAACGCGAACGCGATGCCTTGCTCAGACCACTCTTCGCGAACGCGCTCACCCTTCCGCGAACGCGATGAACACTTGACCTCAAACCGCAGCTGACCCAATTCCTCTACGCGAACGCGAAGTCCATCTCGCGAACGCGATGACCAACTACCCAACCCCTCCGCGAACGCGAAGCCCCTCTCGCGAGCACGAAGGATTAAGTTCAGGCATTCCTCAAATCCTTCTACGCGAACGCGAAGGTATAAATCTCTGCAACAGCTGAGCAGATTTTTCTGCAATTCTCTGAACTTCAAAATGACCCGTTCAACCTTCCGAAACTCACCCGAGGCCCCCGGGACCTCAACCAAGGACACAAACATATCCCAATACCTTATTCGAACTAGTTCCAATCATCAAAACACTTCAAACAACATCAAATCACTCAAAATTCATCGGATTCAAGCCTAAGTTTTCTAAAATCTTCTGAAATACGCTTTCGATTAAAAACCCAACCAAACCACGTCCGAATGACCTGAAATTTTACACACGCATCCCAAATGACACAACGAAGCTACTGCAACTCTCGGAATTCCATTCCGACCCGAATCAAAATCTCACCTACCAACCGGAAATCGCCAAAATATCAACTTCGCCAATTCAAGCCTAATTCTACTCCGGACCTCCAAAACCCGTTCCGATCACACTCCTAAGTCACAAATCACCTCCCGAAGCTACCCGAACCATCGGAACTCACATCCTAGCCCTCTAACACATAAGTCAACATCCGGTTGACTTTTCCAACTTAAGCTTTCTTAAAAGAGACTAAGTATCTCAAACCTCACCAAAACAAATCCGGATTCAATCCGACCAACCCGATACCTCAAAACACAGATGAACAAAGCAAATAGGAGCAGAAATGGGGGAAGCGAAGAGGTAACTCATGAGACGACCGGCCGTGTCGTCACGGTTAATCATTCATTAAGCTTACCCAAGTAGCATACATTTTTGGCCTAAAGTTGACCTATCCAAGTAAGCATACATTTTCGGCCTAAAGTTGACCATTTGCTATTAGGAACTGCTAGTTCACTTTTAGTAACATTTCTTCTAATTCTCTTCTTGTTGTATCTATAATAACTTGACAATAGCAGTTAACCCGATTAACTTGAACAATAGTTTAAATTCTGTGCCAACATACAGATAGTGAATCTTATGTCCTCTAGAATTGGAAAATTTCGAGTAACTTACTAAATAATAAATTACGCAACATTTATATTGTGAATTTGCGAGGATGCAAGTGTAATAAGGGGTCGTTTCGTATGTTGCATAAGAATAGTACTCTTAAATAAGGAGTATTAGCAATGCTGAGATTAGTAATGCTAGGATTATTTTTTATTGACTGTTTAGTTTGGAACACTGTTTTAAAAGGTTTTTCTGGGCCTCAGGGCGGGGCACTATCAAAATGCCTTGAGACTCATGTGTGGGGCTTAGTTCTCTGAGGCTTACGCCCCCAAGCGCCCGACAGTGCGCCCTAAACACGCCTAACGCTCAACGCTCGGGACTCACCCAACAGTTCCTATGCAAATCATATGTTGAATTCACTAATTTGCACTGTTAACTCTCAAAATTCTTTAACAAATGAATGATTAAAGTTCTTTATCTATAGAAATATGAAAATTGTGAATAACTCAAATAACCAAACATATTATTGCATATTTACTAATTGAGAACATCGTGAGGGTGGATATCATTTGAATATTTATTCTAAATATAGATAACCAAAATTTATATCCTTGATAGATCGTCATATCTTAGTGCTATGTCTCTCCAAAATTATCATACATTTTTATTTTACTATTTAAAAATAATTTTATATTTACTCATGAAGGAGTAATATTTTAGATTACAGTATGCAAAAATTTATTGTATTTACTTTTAAAAAGGTAAAATATGCAGTTTGATAATATTGTTTAAGAAATTATAATTTTTAATTGTTTGAAAGTTAAGAGGTTGGATTTAATTTATATTTCATAGTAACTTTAAAAGTATCGTATTATTTATACTTGTAAAATATGCTAAATATTTTATTTTATATGAGTTTCTTTAATTGTTTTTAGTTTTCTTGAATTTTTAATGCATCTTTTATATTTTATTGTGTTATAATGCTATATTTTTAATTCATAAATTTAAAAAAATTAAAGATTCGTGGGGCTTACGCCACACCTCGAGGCTTTCGTCTCGCCCTGTATTAAGTAAAACGCCCCGTCTCACGCCTTCGCTTTTTTAAAACACTGATTTGGAATGTAAAAATAACATGCACTCCATAATTTTAAAAAAAATTTATTTTATTTACAAAATTACCTTTCACTTTCTATAGCTTTGTATTTGGAGAAAGTTTTTAAAGGATGGTTATATCTTTATACATGCTCATCCACGTATACGTTGTACTGCTTATGTTATAATTTGGTATATATATATATATATATTATATATATATATATAATCCTACCAAACTACCCCTAAATATATTTTCTCGTTGTCGTATTTAAAAATCTTGTTCTTTACTTAATAGTACCAAAAAAGAAATGCCATCTGAATGAAGATTCTTTGGACGTGAAGAAAGACTGAAGGGAAAAGTGGAGAAAAACAGAGAAGGCAGAATAGCCTAAATGGCACCTATATTTGTGTCACTTTATTATGTCAGTCCTTCTATTTATTTTTTTTAATTCAAACACTTTAACTTGTTCAAAATCTATATTTTAAACCCTTCTGGCCGTTGATTAAGCACATGTGGCAAAATAATGGTTGAGCTGGACAAAGTAAGTGTAATTTACACGGATAATGAGCGTGAATATGAATATTTTAAACCAAAAATAATTAAAAGAAAAAGAAAAAATCATTAAAATAAGAATAAAAAATAAATAAGTAAAAAAGAAAAGAAAAAAGCAAAAGAGATATCATGTACGCTTCTTCTTCTTCCCCACTCCTCCCCCTCCCCCCGCCCCACAACACCCCCTTCCCTTTTCGTTACTTGACAAGGCTCTCTTTTTGGGTGCTAATGCATCTCTGTCAGTCCAAGCTTCTTAATTTCTTGGAGTTAAGCCCAATTGTATTTATTTTACTGATGATTTTTATGAACAATACAGTGACTATGAAGAAGGGGTGGCTTGGACATGGGTATTTTTAGGGCTGTCAAATTTGGCCCAAGTCCAAATGACCCGTCCAATCCGTCCAAGGTTGGGTTGGTTATTGACCCGCTCATTTATTGAACTTAGCCCATCTTGACCCAACCCATCTCAACTCATTTAAAGTTGAGCTAATTTTTAGCCCAAATTGATCCATGAAAAAGTTTGTCAAAATATCTTAGAAATAATTTTATTTTTTGTTTAATATTTTAAATATGACCATAACAAAAGCAAAAAAGCCTTATTTAGTAGTTATACAATTTATAAGAAAATAACACATATTAATTAAAGTTTAATAAGAGTTGGGCGAGTTGGGTTATGACCCGAATTTTAACCCATCTTGACCCAACCCATCTTAGCCCAAGTAACTTTTGGACGGGTCCAATTATTGACTCAACCCATTTTGACCCGCCCAAAATTGACCCAACCCGCCCATTCTAGTAGCCGGGCCTAAAGTTCAACTCTTCTATTGACTTAGACTCTTGCCTTTTATGTCTCTTAATAGTAGAATGTTAAGGTTTAGCCAAAGATGAGAAATGATTGAAATATCATTTCTTTCTTTAGGATTCTAAGACAGATTAAATATTATTGTCCTTTCCGGGACTCAATCATGCCCCTGCACAACATTCATAAGCTTGTTCAAGTATTTTTTATCTACTTGTGTTCTCAATTGAACGACCTTTTTTTTATTACGGGGTGACACGAGTTTATGATAAGTACGGTCTATAATATGCTTAATTTATTCTTATTTGTGGAGCCGACTATACTTTCTTTATTTTACATCTTTTGTTATATGTCTATGTATTGACCTTTAATATTACAGTATGCAGATCTACAAAAAGTTAATTCCTAATTTAATTTGGGACTGCATTTTCTTGCAACAATTTTTTTATGGCATAGTTTGCTCTCCTAATCAGTATCATCACAAAGCTTTGCTAATGATAGATTAAGTAAGAGGGTAGAAATTAAGGAACACACACAAAATGGGCAATTAATATGTTTGCAACTCATAAAATAAAATTATAATAATTGGAAATAATATTTGGCTAACTTAATTTAATTGTTCATTGCTGGTTTACGACTTTCATGTTCAAATATTAAGCCACTGAATTTGAATTATGTTCATGACATACTTTAAATTCAAATGCTTAGTTAATTTGTAACTTTTATTGCCTAAAAACTTAGTACTCATTGCTATGTGAATCACGCGAAACACGCGTGCCCAGAGACTAGTAATATAATAAAGGGCAAGGTTGTCAAATTGCTAGATTTAATTCCATTGACTATGGAATTAGGACATTTTAAGTAACTTTTTGAATAATAAATTCCTCGAGTTTGCACTACATTTGGCTGCGTTGCACGTTATCCCATATAAGTATTTACATAATGTACATTTATAATTATATATATATATATATATATATATATATATATATATATTATATATATATATATATATATATTATATTTGATTGAGCTATAAATTAAAAATTAAATTACACATACAGTTAACATTATTAAATATTCATAATACTACCTCTTAGCAGTATACACATATGTAAGAACCAATATGCAAAATTTCACAAAGCGATGGTCGATTCATTCATAATAGTAAGTAAAAAAATGCGCAAAACCCCAATACAATAAATATGCAACAAACAAAAAGCACAAAGCCAAAAATCCAACAGAAGAAATTAAAGCAAAAGTAGAAAGAAGGAAGAAGAAGACAAACAGATCATATATAGTAAACTACTATGGTGAATTCTTCCAACACCTTTCTCCAGAATGCCTAATACAGCACAAATACTTTCACTCGTTAATAGAAATTCATAAAAAATAACATAAAAGTTGAATCTTGAACAATCTGAAAAAGACACTAACTTGCTGAACTTGAAACTAAATCTCTTGTCAATTCGGAATGGAAGAAATTCATAAGCTAAACAAAGAAAAGGATATATGAGAGAAATGATTCAAAGGGACTTCAATATAATTTGAAGGGATTCTAAATAATGCAGCGTAATTTTTGAAAGGGAATGAGAAAAATAATTGGTTAATGAGAATTTTAAAAGGAGGTAAGCTGAAAAGGCTATAATTTATTACTAATAAAGAGTTAGATAAAATTCACACATCATATGAAAAGGCTGCACGATATATTTAGCATATCAAAATGTTAGGAATAGTTATTAGAAGATGGAAAGCTCTTCCAACATTAAGTAGCTAAAATTAATCATTTAATTGAAGATAATTTTACTTATAGATTGAGGGTAAATTGGTCGTTTAGCTTTTAAAGGATATTTTAGTAAATCAACTTTATACTAAAGGACTTCTTGCTTATAATATAGTATGATGATATGATATGATGAAAAAATTCAGTGAAAAAGGATCGTTTAGTGAAATAAAGTGGTTAGATGGTTAGATTTGTCGTAGCACTATCTTTTTGTTGTGGATTACTTTTCCTTTGTTGTTGCTTCATTCTCTATACTTTACTAACTTCATTTGAATTATTTCACCAGGTCACGTTCATTTTTCAAGTCATCTTCAAGAAAGGGAGTTTCAAGTACCTGAGGTCGATTATACAAGGGGATGTGGATATTGACGAGAATGTTACGCACCATATAGAAGTGGAGCGGATGAAATGGAGGCTAGCGTCTGGTGTCCTGTGTGACAGGAAGGTGTCTCTGGAACTTAAAGGAAAGTTCTATAGAGCGGTGCTTAGGCCGGCTATATTGTATGGTGCAGAGTGTTGGCTAGCCAAAAATTCTCATACCCAGAAGATGAAAGTTGCAGAGATGAGGATGCTGAGATGGATGTGCAGGCACACTAGATTGATAAGATTAGGAATGAAGATATTCGAGTGAAGGTGGGTGTGGCTCCCACGAAAGATAAAATGCGGGAAACTAGGCTCAGATGGTTCGGGCACGTGAGGAGGAAAAGCCTGGATGCACCAGTAAGGAGGTGTGAACGGCTGGCCTTGACGGGTATGAGAAGAGGTAGAGGGCGGCCTAAGAAATATTGGGAAGAGGTGTTCAAGCAGGATATGGTGCAGATGCAGATTTCCGAGGACATGGCCCTTGATAGGAAGTTGTGGAGGTCGAGCATTAGGGTTGAAGGTTAGGAGATAGGAGACTAGTATGATAGTGTTTTGTTTTAGGATGCTAGTGGCTCCAGTTATGTTCTTAATACTTCATTAGGGTCGTAGGCTAGGCTGTAGTATGTTTAGTGACCCTTTGTGTACATATTATTCCTTTGCGTCTGTAGTACTGTGCATTTGTTACTGCTTAGTGTTATTACTTTGCTATCTATTTTCTGGTTATTGCATTGCTGGTGTTATCTTTCTGGATTCCTTTGATGTTACTGATACACTGTCTCTTTCCTACTTGTATCGAGAGTCCACCGAAAACAACTTTTCTACTCCTCCGGATTAGGGGTAAGGTCTGCGTACATATTACCTTCCCCAGACCCCACCTATGGGATCTCACCAGGTTGTTGTTATTGTTGTTGTCGTGTTCATTATGCAACTCGAAGGAGTACCACTTCCAGAATTGAGATGCAAATGTCTGACACTAAGGGGTCGTTTGGTAGGGTGTGTAAGAATAGTGCGGAATAAGGTGTGTTAGTAATGCATGTGATAGTAATGCAAGCATTAGTTATGCATATAGTATTTCTTATCTACTGTTTGGTGTGGTGTATTAAAATTATAATATTTTGCATAATTTTAAAGAAAAATAGTTATTTACAAAAATATCCTCCGTATTATCTAGCTTTTAAGGGACTCCAAGAATATTTTTATCTTTAACCATACTAATGCATGCATTAATAGCCTTGGTATTATTAATGGTATGATTTTCTATGCATTACTTATACATAGGATAATACCAAGCAAAATGTATAACTAATACTTGTATTAGTTATACACAAGTTTAAAAAATGTACCAAACAAGGTGTTGGGAATACTTAGAGCTAATACTTGCATTATTTTTTCTAGTACCTCCTACCAAACGACCCCTAAAGATGCATGTAAAAACCAATACTTTGTATGGAATGGCTAGCCTTTTGGGGGCGGCGCCTCTTTTGGAGACACTGAGGGGTCGTTTGGTAGGGTATATAAGAATAGTGCGGAATAAGGTGTATTAGTAATGCAAGCATTAGTTATGCAAATATTATTTCTTATCTATTGTTTGGTGTGGTGTATTAGAATTATAATGCATTGCATAATTTTTTTTTAAAAATAGGTGCTTACAAAAATGCCCTCCATATTCTCTAGCTTTAAGGGACATTAAGGACAATTTTGTCTTTAACTATGCTAATACATGCATTAAAGCCTTGGTATTACTAATGTCATGGTTTTCTATGCATTACTTATGCATAGGATAATGCCAATTATGGTGTATAACTAATACAAATATTAGTTATACACAAGTTGAAAAAAAGTACCAAACAATGTATTAGTAATGCATAGAGCTAATGCTTGTATTATTTTTTCTAATACCAAACGACCCCTGAATATACACTTTGGGAGAGGTCATTACTTGTATCAATGTATGCTCTTCCTTTTACATCCAATTTTATACTTTGAAGTTTTAACACACACACCCCCACCCCCGCCCCCCGAAAAAAATACGGAAGTGATTTTAAGGAGAATGCAAATAAAGCATTAATATCATTAAGAATATTTTGTCACTGTATGGCTAAAAACTAATGAATTGTCTCCTGTTATTGCCTAACTCTCCTGTTACGAAATTTTCCACAATTACATGAATCATTGTTCAAGAGAACTCTAATGAATTTTCAAGAAGTCTTTCAATTTGATCCCTCTAAATAGTCTTCGGACACAATGAATCCTAATACAAGATGAATTTAATTGAAAATATTTTTAGAAGTCCCCCAAATTTCTGTGTTAATTTGTTTAATAATGTAAAAAGATGGGGGATTTAATTAATTTATTTATTTAAGAGGACAAAAGAATGGGAAAAAGCAACGGAACAGGAAACGTGTGAACGGTAGAGAAGGGAAAAGACCACCGGAAAATTATCCAAAACCCTAAAGCCTTTCTGCACCAAAATCCTATGGCACCCGACCATTCCCGGAAACATACTCCATCGTCAAAGAAACAGAAAGTGAGAGCCACCGGAGCTGAAAAACGAAAGAAGAGAGTCACCGGAGTTGAAGAAACCCTAGACGACCGAATCGGTCAGTTGCCAGACTCACTCCTCATTCAAATTCTCTCTCTTCTGCCCTTCACTACATGTGTTCTCGCGAAAAGGTGGCAGTATCTATGGACTTCAGTTGATCACTTCATTTTCAGGTGTGAAAAGGAATCACAAGCAGAAAACTTCATTTCCTTTGTGGATTATGCATTACCACATTCCTCTTGTTCCAAAATAAAAAATTCCAACTGAATTTCACTTACCTGTCTCTATACGAGTCCCCAATCAGCCGATGGCTTAGTTCCGCAGTTGAAAAAAATTTGAGGATGTTGTATTGCGGTCAGATTGCTGTGAGGAAGACAGTATCTACTTGCCTCAGTCTATCTGCATTTGTTCCTCATTGATAACATTGGATCTGAGCTGCTGTTTTTTTGATGAAAATTTTGTCATAGAGTGGAAGTCTCTAAAGAGCCTAAAGTTGAAATATACTGTGTTAGATGATGATGCTATTGTGAACAACATACTGTCAGGTTCTCCTGCTTTGGAAACTCTGGAATTTTTTAATTTCGAGGGTTTCCGTCGTCTCGAAATTAATTCCTTAAACTTACAGAGACTCAAGTTCAAAGAATATTGGTTGCCAAATGACAGCGATGATCATTCTCTGGAAATTGTTGCCCCGTATATTCAGCATTTGGAGATCTCCAAAAATCTGTATGATCTCAAGTGTCGGCTAATAAATGCAGCCTCCGTGGTCAGTGCTAGGCTTACTTTCCGAATTACTTGTTCAGAATATTCTAGTGACAGTTGTCCTGATGATCATCAAGTTATTAAGACACTAGTCCAAGAATATTTTCAAAAGTTGAGTTGCGCGACGGAGTTAACAATCGGAACTTGGTTCACGGAGGTTTGTATTTAAGTTAAAAGAACTCTATTTCCTTTATTTGATTATAGATATCATAAAGAGAATAGCATTTAGAATAAAATACAATTTAGAATTTTTACACATTTTCTGATAGTAGAGACTTCCCCTAGGTCAGTGACGCACGGTTGGAAAGTCAGTGGATAATGGGCCCACCGCTCTACCCTTCTCCGGTTAAATACCAAGCTTTTGCCCAAGAAATTTTACACATTATTATACAAAGGCTACTGGTTTTAGTACAAAACTCTTGTGACTTTTTGCAATTGCAATCTTTCAGTCAACTTTTTAAAGTGGTGTATTTCTTTTATTATTCAGCTAATGTGTTATATTTGTTATACCATTATGTGTTCACTTTATTTCTCTATCCTTTACTAGTTTCATTGGAATTACTGCATCAGGTCATGTTGCCGTTTGAAGGGGGGCTGCTGCTTCCAGAATTGAAATGCAAATGTCTAACTTTAGATTTGCATATCACAAAGTTTTATTCCTATGGAGCAGCTATCCTGTTGCAAGCCTCGCCTCATGTGGAGACACTTAACATAACTATGGCAACTATTGATGTAACTTCCTGCAACTTTTTGCTCATCTTTTTTTTCACATTCATTATATGAAGTTTTAACTTTTAACGTCCCCCTTCCCCACACTGAATGGTTTTCTTAAGGAGATGTAAATATATTCTTAATCATCAGTAAGAAACGTTTTTCACTAGAAAATATCATTTTAATATGACTAGTTTTGTGGTTAATGGGCTCTGATGGGAAAAAGATTGCTGGCAAACACAGCATCTTTCATTCTTTGCTTGGTTCACCTATTCCAAGAGTCATCCTAGAGGAACAGTTGTCATAATCATTTGCCCAGAACCATTAAAGATTGGTGGGTTCAGAAATTGTTCTGTACCAGACACTTCTACTATGAAATCATTGTTTTGTGACTTGCGTGCAATAAGATTTTCATTTGACTTTAACACATGCATTTGATCCTGACTATATTCTTTCTCTAGTTGGATTTTTCCCGATGCAAATTTGAGTTAGGATATTTGGCAAAAGGAGGCGATATTCATTTGCTGTCGAGATTTGGGTTTCCCAACCTCAGGAATGTTAAGGTTGTCAGTTCTTCAGGGACGTGTTTGCAGGGGTGTCTTGTATGGGATTATGATGAACTTTTCAATCTTTCAGAATTTATACTAAAGAATGCAATGGGTCTGGAAAAGTTCGTTCTCATATCAAGAAGAAGAATGTGCAAGAGATGCTCAAGGAACTATGCGTCTCAATATTTATTTCGATTGGCTGAGAAATTGGTAGGTTGCCCAAGGTGCTCTGCAAATTCTGTGATTATTTGCCAGGAAGGAGCTTTCCATGACTAGATGAAAAGTAGTTTTCAGTTGCAGTATACCAGAAATGTTACCTTATTTACTGCTGGTAATTCTTGAACTTTTCTATGTAACTGATAACTACTTGTTCCTGTTATCTCGCCTTATGACATGCCAAATGTTATGGTTGTTTGATTTCTGATGAAGCTTTTTTTGTTGCATTCAAGATGTTATGTATGTGTTTCAGAATTTCTAGGCAGGCACAAGTTTTTCTGCAGGCAGCTTTCATGGAGTATGCTTTATGCCCTGGTCTCCATCCTCTAAAGCCGAAAAGCATATTGCACAGTTAAGTGAACTTTAGTCAGAATACCCCATAATCTTCTTCTTCTGAAACAAATCTAAACCTCTTCTTGTTTAATATTTCCTTGTTGTAATTTGTTATATATCTATATGAGCTCCTCGCAACAATAGTAGCCACTAGGCAGTATCGTGAACCTTAATTTTTGAACAAGTCATTAATAAAACAAACGAATGTAATCCGTCGAAAATAGAGAAACATCTAACCAGCAGAGATGCTTTTTTCATTTGAGGTACTAATAAGGAGAAGAGATGTCATATATTATACTCACAGTCATTGTTCAAAGTCAGTATTTTAACCCCTTTGAAGTCAGTCCGCCATGGGATCGATGATAAGGGTTTTGGTACTCGCAAGTATCTCGAATGAATATATGATGATCTTGTTAGAAAGTTTTATGCAATATTAAAGGTATCAGAGGATGGAGTTTTGAAACTTCGATTCAGGTTAGAAGATTGGTCATTGATGAGGAAAAGTTTGATGAAGTCATTGCAACCAAGCTTGTTATGGATTCTGTGTTCTTCAAAAATGTTTGGCCAAAAGTTTGCAGAGTTTAGTTTGATATATAGGTTAGAACTCAACTTGGTGAGGTTGTCAAGAAATTGGAAAATAGAATGAATGCAAATGTAATGTCGTTTGAGCAGACTTTTGCTGCTTGAAAATTGTTTTGGTGTGTGAGAAGGATCTGTGATTACAAAGTTAAATTTTGATGGAAAAGTTGCTGGGAATATTAGATCCAATTGAAATGAAGTGCACAATTGGTCTGACCAACTTGTAGAGAGCTCCCTCTGAAGAAGAGCATGTTAAAAGGGCAGGCCGGTCACCGGTCATAATGCATCTCGCGTTTAGTAATTAATAATCCTCAAAAACCAATCTTTGGACGTGTTAAATTTTGAGGAGGGATTTTTTTCATTCTTATACAATATTTGAAATTTATTTATCAAAATTGTCCTAAATTGGTATATTACCCGCCCTAAATAAGAATTGCTTGCCATTTATATACAATCCATTATTAGTGCGTTAAATTAGGGGATTCGATTATACCCTTTTACTTCTTTCTCTGTTCTCTCCGCCTTTCTCTATGTACAATCCATTATTAATACCTTAAATCATGGGATTTAGCTACACACGAATTTATAATCCAAATATTCAGTTGTGATCACAAGCAAATTAAAACGAGATCAAATGAGAAAGTCACAATCAAAATGATACAAGAAATTACGTTTCGAATTAGTACTAGTCAATCGCAACTGTCAAAAAATAAAAACAGAAAAAAGGAGAAAACACAATACTTTCATTCAATCAATATATGGCCTTTATTGTTAAGTTCACTTGACGGCAATGAACCTCTCAAAATCTAGATAGGGATAATAAGCCATGTAATCTTGCATTTTCCTTTTCGAACTTTGAAACAGACACTATTCCAACGAGAGATTAAGTAAATACGGCCAAACATCGTCAATATAAGACAAGGTTAAGGGTTGTTTGGTTACAGCCTTACAGGTATTAAGTGGGATATACCAGTATAAAAACTGGGGTTAAATTTATTCCATGTTTGATTACTGGTAGGGCTGTCAAATTTGGCCCAAGCCTAAATGACCCGCTCAATCCGTCCAAGGTTGGGTTGGTTATTGACCCGCCCATTTATTGAACTTAGCCCATCTTGACCCAATCCATCTCAACCCATTTAAAGTTGGGCTAATTTTTAGCCCAAATTAATCCATGAGTAAGTTTGTCAAAATATCTTAGTAAGAATTTTATTTTTTGTTTAATATTTTAAATATGACCATAACAAAAGCAAAAAAGCCTTATTTAGTAATTATACAATTTATAAGAAAATAACACATATTAATAAAGTTTAATAAGAGTTGGGCGGGTTGAGTTATGACCCGAATTTTAACTCATCTTGACCCAACCCATCTTAGCTCAAGTAACTTTTGGGCGGGTCATTTGACCGCCCAATTATTGATTCAACCCATTTTGACCCGCCCAAAATTGACCCAACCCGCCCATTTGACACCCCTAATTACTGGTATTAAATAATCTTGGTATAATTTTATTCCAAATATTGGTATAAACTTATCCTACATTGGAGGTGGAATAACAATACCAGGATTATAGTCCCTTAGATAAAGATTTCGTTAAGACATAATTACCCCTCCAAAACCCCTTTTCACTGCATCAGTACGTACGATACAACCAAAATAGATACTAGCTGCAGTTTATGCATTCTTTTTGCTGGAGTTTTGCACAGTTCTTGTATTTATTTGCATTGTATTTGAATAAGTTTTGCATTTTTTGCACAGTTTTCCCTTTTTTGGACAGACACCTCTTCCTTTCAAATATTTGTTCACATTATGAACAGACACACCTCTTCCAATAATTGCATATAAATTCCGAGGCATGGCTTCCTTTTCATACACTGAAAAATACAGAACTTACTTCCTTATGAATCTCTTGCATTCTACTTCGCAGTTTCTCTTTCAAATTCGTAAGTGTGATTTCGCTCCGTTCTTTTGAGTTCGTTGGTATCATGCAGTTTGTATTGCCACTATTGCATGAAGGTTTATTCCGTTTCATTCTGGGAGGATTTAATCCATTACCTTGGCAACGTGTGAGGGGGTTAAAATTCCTTAAGGACGCACAAGGAAATTGTGGACTCGGAATATTTCTTGTAGTTTACTGTTTTTCCAGTTTTCTTCTAACAGTCTTTCTAATTTTTTGTTTTAACACAGAAACGACAACATATACACCTTTAAACCAAGCACATGTTTAAGGTTATATATAGTATATTTCATTTTTAATCCAACGAATCAAACAAAGTATTAGCGCTAAGTAACCCGAGGGATTATAATCCCATGATAATTCCGTCCGCGAACCAAACAACCTCTTAGTGTAATACTAATCCTTAAATGAAAATTAATTTGGTAAATGAGAAAATCACAAATAAACCGATACAAGAGGAAGAAATGCTAATCATGATCAAATGATATTAAACAATAATTTCTATAATAGTCAGTTTAATTAGTATGAAGAAACTGTGACTAATGTACTACCCAGTTAAATATAATTTTAACAACATACAATTTACGTACAATTATAATACGACCTTACCACAATTTCGTAAATATATTTTATATCATGTGTTCTTCTTCTTTTCTTTTTTTTCTTCTTCTTCTTCTTCTTCTTGTTTCAATATGAAATTCAGCCAACGATACCAAACAGAGTATTAGCACTAAGTAACCCAAGGAATTATAATCCCAAGATAATTCCGTCCGCGAAACAAACAACTCCTTAGTGTAATACTAATCCTTAAATGAAAATTAACTTGGTAACTGAGAAAGTCACAAATAAAACGACACAAGAGAGGAAGAAATGCTAATCATGATCAAATGATATTAAACTATAATTTCTATAATAGTAAGTTAATTAGTATGAAGAAACTGTGATTAATGTACTATCCGGCTAAATACAACTACAACAACATACAATTTAAATTCGGCATTTTCTATCATTGACAGTCGTTAAAAAGTTGAAATTGAATTCAAATTCGGCATCTTGAACAATATATGGTACAATAATATACACATTTAAAAATAAATTTAATACAAAATTAATATATCTACAACAACTTACATGCTAAAATAAATTTCATGCAACTAATTATATAGTATACATTTATTTACAACTTTCATACATTATTTTTACCCAGTTAAATACATCTACAACATCATACAACTTAAATACAATTTTCATACAAAATTTATACAATATGTCTTTTGTATCTGATTTATATATATTTTGTATGCGGTGTGTTCTTCTTCCTCTCTGAAATTCCAATCAAAACTTCCTCTCTTAATACAATTTTGATACATATCAATAACTTTATGTAAAAAGATAGTATTGATAACTTAAATACAAATTTTATAGAATGATTCATACATTATACAACTATTTTTCAACTTTCATACAACATTCAAATATATATATATATATATATATATATATATATATATATATATATATATATATATATATATATATATACACACACACAACAGAATACAATTTACATACAAGTATAATACAACTTTACTACAATTTCGTAAGCATATTGTAAGTCATGTGTTCTTCTTCTTCTTCTTCTTCGAGTTTCACTCTGCAATTCAGCCAAAATCAAGTCTAATCTTCACCACACACCCTCAAA